GCATCTCCTATAGTTCTGATTTGCATCTTTCTAATGATTAATGATGCTGAGCATCTTTTCGTCATTTTATCAGTCTTTAAATATCATCTGCGGAGAAACGTCTATTCAAGTCCTTTGCCCGTTTTTCCATCAGGTTGTTTGCTTTTGTGCTGTTAAGTTTTATGAGTTCTCTATGTAGTCTATATGTAAATCCCACGGCTGATGAGGAATTGGTAAATATTTCCTCCCGTTCCGGGGCTTGCCTTTTTATTCTGCTGATAGTATCCTTTAATGCATGAAAATTTTTCATTTTGATGAAGTCAATTACTCTATTTTTCTTCTGTTGCCTGTGACTTGGTGTCATATCCAAAAAATCCTTGTCAAATCCAATGTCATGAAGCTTTCCCCAGGAGTTCAATGTTAATATTAAGTCATTTTATAAGAGTTACAGGACAATTTTTAGAAGAAGCAAGATGATAACAAAAATCTGGCAAGGGGTTTACTGTATTCCCACCGAGCCCACATTTTAAAAACAAATCCTTGTAGTTGGACTCTGATCACCTGTGATAAGAACACAACATGACAGAGGGAGTTGCCTCTCAGCAGTAACAGGGACATTAGGGGTGGATGCTCCATTCCACGCCAACACTTACACTCTTCCTTTGTGGAGCCAACTTCCTTTATGATATTGGAGCCAAACAAAGGGAGAGGGGATCCACAGGCACCATTTCGCTTAACTGAGTAACTCACTCACATGGGTTTAACAATCTGTGTGTGTTTCCTTACCAACCCCCCGCCCCCCACCACACACACAAAATCCCATCTCCATCCCCAGCACGTTGAGTGAATTTTATGCTCATGGAAGATCATAGCAAGCCATTAGGAAGGATCAAGATCAAAGAGTTTGGCAAGGAAAACAATTCCTGTCCTGTCAAGGTGCCTTGACCTAGATTTTCAGGGTTCCTCCAGCAGCAGACCTTGGCCTCCTCCCAGCAAGAAGCCAGCATGGCTTGAGCCAAATCACCAATGCCAGGATGGCCACTCTCCAGCAAGCTCAGTAATGTATGAATTTGTATGTCTGTTCTGAACACTGGCCAGCACAGGCTGAGGCAGTCCTATCCAGCTGAGAAGGCTTCCGACCAGGAAATTATAACAAGAGTCATAATACGCCATCAAAGTTATACTCTCCCTCCAAGACTGACACTCATGCCATCAGAGCCATCATCACTGTGACCTTACTCAGTGTAAGAGAGCTGGCCAAGCAGGCCCAAATCAAGCCTAGTCCAACTCACATGTCATCAAGATTGGTGACAGAAAGTGCCTGGCACATGCTTAGCGCCAGACATTCATGGTGGCTGCTCCCATGGTGAGCTGTGTGTCTTTCACTCCCCGCCCCATTCCTTTCAGTTCCTCAAGGTCGGAAACCCGGTCTTATTTGCCTTTAAGCCCCCAGCACATAATAGGTCCTGCATAACTACGTGCTGAATAGACAGCTACAAGAAAAATCTCCTTTCCCTTAACTCTGTAGGTCATTTGGTTGGGAGTCTGAGGTAGAAAAATCAACACAGAGCTTTGCCCATAGCATCTGTGCAGAGTTAACTCAGCTTCCTCCCAGGAGCTACACATCAGGAGAACAGAACTTCAAGGCCTTGTCAGATAAAGGAGGGCTTTATGGAAAAGAGCTACCTGAAAGTGTTTTGCATAACAACACATCTACAGATTTTAACGGAGCACTTTTCCCCCATTCCTTATGGATTCATTAAACTGACAGCTTGGCACCAGCATATTGATGCCTGTTTTCTCTCCAACACAAACTGTACGAGTGCCTCATGTTTACCCACCCTATGAATTTCTAAGCAACGATGTAGAAACAGAGCTCAGAAAACAAAGAAAAGATGCTGAGTTGAGCTATTTTACAAGAAAACAATAATAATCGCCTCCTTTCCACCCTCCTCCCACTCTAATTGGGTGTATTTGGTTTTTGGTTGTTTCCCTTTATTCAAAGATTCTGAATTGCAACAGCTTCTTTTTGCTTGTTAAAGAAGACTGTGCTCTCAGCAGGGTGCAGTGGCACGTATCTGTAGTCCCAGCTACTTGGGAGGCCAAGGCAGGAGGATGTAAGCCCAAGGGTTTGAGGCCAGCCTGGGCAACATAGTGAGACCCCCATCTCTGAAAAAAGCCTGCACTCTAGGGAAATGCCAGCCAAAGTTCTGGTCCTCAAGAAGATAAGGAGCTGGCAACAGAATGTAAATCAATGCATTGCTTCCTTCTTCAAAACGTCTTGCTATGCAAAAAAAAAAAAAAAAAAAAAAAAAAGCCAGCTCAGTTAAACAGTGTGGTTAGTGCCAAAGCTGATCTCCTCATGGACAGGTAACAAAGAATTCAACTAGTACAGCCACAGATCACAGCTCAAGAAGCATTGCTGCAGGCTGCAGAATTCCCCACCTGCCTGAAAACATACTAGACTGACATTTAAAATGGTCTTCTGAGAGTATTTGGCCACCTAGTATCTGTAACTCCTTTTTTTTGGTAAAACACTCCAATATTGAGGATCCATTACAGCCTGCTCTCCATCTGTGGGATCCAGGCAGAGATCCTATATGACTAGGCCTCCAAGTCCATCTAATCACAGTGAATGGTTCAGGGAAGCCATGGTCCAGAGCTGGCCAATCAACATAATTCCAGCCTTGCGACCAGTTTTCAGATCAAGGATGGCAGTGGCCCTGACCGATTCAATCAGAGTGAAGCCTGGGACTCATACAGGTGCTACCAGGAAAATGGTCTCTTTCCACTAAAGTTGTAAGAATGTCAGGCTGGAGTTGACACCCATTGTTGGGGGCAGCTGTACAACACTCATTGTGGCGGGGGTTGGGTAGGGGCTGGATGTGAAAAGAGACAAAGATTGGGAGCAGAATTGAAAGACAGAAAAACTGGATTCTGAGTCTAATACTGGAACCTCTGCACAAAGCCATGCGTGAAGTAGGTTTCTACCCTACGACTTTTCAGTTATAGGAACCAGTAAATCTTACTTTTGCTGAGATCAGTTTTTGAGCTTTCTAACACCTGCAACTGAAAAAGTCTAAAGTTACACAATGACTACTATACCCTGGGCTCACTCTAAAATCCATACGCATTGGTCTGAAAGAAACAATTCTGAAAAGTCAAAAGGTGGGGAGTCAGAAGAGCTGCCATGCCAGGTGTGGTAGCTCGTGTCTGTAATCTCAATGTTCTAGGAGGCTGAGGCGGGAGGATCACTGGAGCCCAGGAGTTCAAGACCAGTCTGGGCAACAGAGCAAGATTCCATCTCTAAAAAAATAAATAAACAAATAGCCAGGCGTACTGGTATGTACCTATATTCCCCACTACTCAAGAGGCTGAGCTGGGAGGATCACTGGAGCCCATTGAGCCCAAGAGGTCCAGGCTCCAGGGAGCTGTGATTGTGCCACTGCACTCTTGTGAGCCACAAGACCACAAGACCAAGACGCTGTCTCAAAACAAAAACAAAAACAGAAAAACAAGAGCTGCCACTATCTGGGACTAGAGGCAGGTTTAGCAAGACTTTCACACCTATGCCTCTTCCTCTGTCAAGTGGTTAGCAGCTGCCTCATCTATCATCTATGAGAAGACTGCAAGAATCACGTAAAAGGACACGAAGGAAATCACTCTGGTAGCCCATGAAAAAAAGCACTGCATGAACAAAAAATATTATTATTATGAGCCAAACCCCTTATTATTCAAACTTCAAAATTCTGGCAAGCATAACTATCCAGAGCCTAGAAAAAAATGTAAAAGCACTTGAGCAACACATTACTTTTACCAAATCCGACAGTCTATGGCGTAGGAGAAGAAGCACTCTCTGCAGGCCAAAGGGTATAAATTGAGGTGGTGAGAGCCTGAGAACAAAGAAGGCGCAGCAGACGGCCAGGGCAAGCCTTGAGGTCTGAGCTGAGCAGCAACGTGCACCGTGGGTCAGTTCTCAGGCTCACCCAGGAAGGTTCTTCCCCATTGCATATATCACTCCATCTATTTAAGCTTATGAATCATGAAAGAAAAATGGTTATTTAGTTTCAAAATTACATTCCTCACAGCTATTTTGCAACTTTGGAATTGCTGTCCTAACAATAGCATGGCTATCCAATTAGGGAGATATTATTTGTTTGATTTTACTGTTTTTATTGCCAAGATCTAAGGGGCTAACATAACAACAAGAATTTTACATTAAAAGACTAAATTGTTTTGCACATTCTGCACTTTCCCCAAAGTCAGAATATGACTATTTTCTGATAGATATAAACAGCCAGCAGTCATGGGACAAGACCAGAGGAGGTATTCACATTATTCCTGATTTGTAAGCCTCCTTCTGTTCACGAGGGTTTTAATGGATTCCCTTTTGATGATAGAATAAAGTTTTGGAGTTCCAAATAATGTATCTGGAAGTAGCTTTGCTCTTTACAGTTCCTGCATTTGAGGAGCTCAGTCCTGCAGGGAAGTGGGGGGAGGACAAAACCGTCAGGGTGTTTTACCAGCTTCCTCATGTACAGGACATCAACCCTGCATCAGGCATTTGCATCCACAGCCAACCGCACCAGGCCACATTACCAACGGGCAGGGTTTGGGTCCTCGGAAGCAAGGAGCAGGTTGGAACCTGCCTCCCTGCTCCCGTGGACAGCCTGCATTCAGGCAGAGCCGGGGCATTCCCACTCTGTCCATCTCCACGGGGAGGAGGCCCCCGGCAGGGCTTGTCTGTGGCCAGCTCCACAAACAACACTACTCTTTCTTCTGCTTCTCCGCATGCATCCCCAATTTGTAATACAAGGTGGCCTTCCCTGTTATCTGATTATCTTCAACTCAACGAAAGGGAGTAATAGGTCCCATGCTGGCCTCAGGCCCAAGACTTGTTCTCCAATCTAGCTTTATCATTATTAAAGTGATTCTCACCCTTATTGATCTGAGGCAAGATAAGTTAAAAGGCAAGGGGAAAGAGAAAGATGGGTTGTTCCCCCCAAACCTCTAACACTTACCAGTCTGGACAAGGCTCTGGACCCAGCATAGATTATACCCACAAACAGCACTGAAGCAGGAAGCCACGCCAGAACATGAGATCTGGAAAGAGGGAAAAAAGGCGATAACACTTTTGCCACTTTTTATTCAGAAAGACCTGGCTGGAAAGGCTGACCTTCCAGATGCATCAACTACAGCAACAGAAGCTATCTAAACATCCCTGGAGGACTTGTTAAATGAGATGTGGCCTTTATCCACAGAGTGGTGGAGGCAGACAAAGCCACCCTACCTACAATCCCATCATTACTTATCACCTAGCTAAGAGATCCCAGAAATGGAAATGGTAAACGCCTTGCTGCAGCTTGGAAAAAAGAATAGATCTGTTTTTTTTTTTTTCAAGGGCAGTGAACATTATTCTTTGGATTGTAAGTAGTCAGAAGTTTTGAATCCATGACAAATTATTAAAAGTTGAAAAGGCTATTTACCCAGGTACTACACCAAACAGCTCCATGGAATCACAACAAAAAGAACCAAGTTTCAAGGGACAGAATTGAAAAATAGAATCCCAGAACTTCAGTTGGGTGCCCATAGGCTGGCTTCTTCAACCATTAACCTGGCAGTGTTGGAATTCTGGATCAGGGACTCTCTGAGGACTTCTGAAGGGCACATTTCTTTTTCAATTGTAGCCCACACCAGGAACTGCTTTTTCTTACAGTTTAGAATCAAAATCCCAGTTTACACATTCAGTGCATATCACTGAGGTTGCAACCTGCTTCTCTCATCAGTTAGAAATGCATTTGATTGGCTAGGTGCAGTGGCTCACGCCTATCATCTTGGCCTTGTGAGGCCAAGACAGGTGGATCAGTTGAGCTTAGGAGGCAGAGGTTGCAGTGAGCCGAGATCACACCACTGCAGTCCAGCCTCTGGGCTACAGAGCAATACTTATCTCAAAAAAAAAAAAAAAAAAAAAAAAATGCATTCAATCTACTAATTCGAGTTCCCAGAGTTATCCTAAAAATTAATAAAAATAAATGAAACTAATTCAACAGAATATAACATAATAATCCCAACTAACTCAATGAACTGATCTCCTGGAATGATGCCTGCTCAAGAAACGGTCTTTGTTAATTTTATTAGCATGGGCAGGCACTCCATCCCAGATCAGTCCTGATCTGTACAACTTCCCAGAGAACCTAGCATTTAAATGTTCCCAGTCACTAGTAAGGGCCTTCAAACCTTACTTGCTGTATAAATTCATTATGCAAATACTTAAAGCAACTTACAAGGTGCTGAGTGTGATCATTAACAGCAGCACCACAGGTAACATTCATTGAGCACTTGCCACAAACCAGGCACTTTGCTAAATGTTTTATATGCTGCGTCTTTCTTAAAGTTGCACAATAATCTTATGAGGAAGGTATTTATTATTATTACCCCATTGTGCAGATGAGGAAACTGAGGCACAAAGAGTTTAAATAATTTGCGTATAGTTAGGAAAGCTGGTAAATGGCAAAGCCAGAATTTGAATTCAGGTCTGTCTGGCTCCAAAGCTGTAGCTGTTAAACACCAATTCATACTTTGCCATCACGGACCTCATAATCTAATGGGAGACACTGACATAGAAATAGATAAGCTGCAAACACTCGGATAATTGGCTGCAGATCAAGCAGCCAATTATCTGAGGGATATTCTGTTATCACTAGTCCTGCTGCAATAATAGATGTCCGTACCCACAACCAAAAGATAAACAGAGAAAGGAAGATGCTATCTCCCATTGCAATGGGTCAGGGGTGACATAAGTCAACTGCTATTCTAGGAAATGGCTTTTCCCATTTGACATTAAGCTTACATGAATCAAGGGAGGTGGATGAAGGCCCATGGCCTGTCGTGCACCAGAAGGAAGCCCAGAGCACATACAGCAGGCAGGGCACTGAGGAGGAAGGAGGAGGTGCACTGGGTGAAACGGCAGCTGGCCTCACTGTGGGAGGCCCAGGACTTTGGAATGTAAGGTCAGCAAGACCCTAGGCATGTGTACTCCATGCCCTTGTAAAACAAAGAAAACTGCTGAGTTATATATTACAAGAGGCATTGAGGTGTCTGAATGACCACGGACGTGAGGAAAAGAAAACATGCCTAGGGAACACCTTGTATTTTAACCCTCCTACCCTCAAATACAAAGAAATAACTTTAACTAGAAAAGAGATAGGCAGGCCTAGTAGGACCAAAGAGACTTCTGGGAAGTGTCAGAGGACAGCAGAGACTTCTGGGAAGTGTTAGCGGCATCTGGCTCCAGACGTGGGACTGCCTCCCAGGGACGCGACCCCAGGGCTTGTGTTCTCCAAAGTCATCTCCCTCAGGAACAACAGAGCCAAAGCAATACGTACTCATGGTGGCACTTCAGACACACAGGAGAGGCGGTGGACTGCAGAGCCACCATGCTGTCTGTGTGACGACTGTCCTTCGCTGCACGCCAACCTAAGACCATAGCCACTAAGAATAAGACAATTGAATCTCTGGAAAAATTGCTGACAAAACAGGTATGGGCAAGGCAAGTGTGAAAAGATAGGGCAAAAAGGAAAAAGAATTAGAAATCAAGGACTCTGAATTTATATTGTTTCAAAGTATCAAAGGTCTCATTCTACTTTTTTTTTTTTTTTTTTTGAGACAGAGTCTTGCTCTGTTGCCCAGGCTAGAGTGAGGTGGTGCGATCTCAGCTCACTTCAACCTCTGCCTCCCGGGTTCAAGTGATTCTCCTGCCTCAACCTCCCAAGTAGCTGGGACTACAGGTGAGTGCCACCATGCTAATTTTTGGATTTTTAGCAGAGATGGGGTTTCACCATATTGGCCAGGCTGATCTTGAACTCCTGACCTCGTGATCCACCTGCCTTGGCCTCTCAAAGTGCTGGGATTACAGCTGTGAGACACCATACCTGGCTTTCATTCTACTTTTAAGCATGTACCTCAAATGAAAATCATAGAGTATATGCTATGTGTAGTACATGCAAGAAAGGACTGAGGGACACCAGTCAACAATCCATACACCACCGCATATTCTCACTCATAGGCGGGTGATGAAAAATGAGAACACATGGACACAGAGAGGGGAGTACTAAACACTGGGGTCTACTGGGGGGAAAAGGGGAGGGCCAGTGGGAGGGGGAGGTGGGGAGGGATAGCCTGGGGAGAAACGCCAAATGTGGGTGAAGGGGTGAAAGCAAACAGAACACACTGCCATGTGTGTACCTATGCAACTGTATTGCATGCTCTGCACATGTACCCCAAAACCTAAAATCCAATAAAAAAATAAGAAAAAAAAAATAAGAAGAAAAATAAATATTTTTCTTTTTCAAAAGAAAAAAAAACAATCCATACACAAACAAAAAGCCTTAACACATAATCAGCAAATTAATGCATATTTATATATGTTTAATTAAAATAAATACATTGTTTCAGCAAAAGAGGATTCCCTAGGCCAGGTACAGTAGCTCAGACCTATAATCCCAGCACTTTGGGAGGCCAAAACGGGAGGATAATTTGAGGCTGGGAGTTTCCCTGAGCAACACAGCCTGTCTCTATAAAAAATTTAAAAATTCTGCTGGGTGTGGTGGGTTGAGCCTGTAGTCTCAGCTACTCGGGAGGCTAAGGTGGGAGAATCGTTTGAGCCCAGGAGGTCAAGGCTGCAGTGAACCATGATCATGCCATTGCACTCCAGCCTGGGCAGCAGCGGTAAGATCTTAAAAGATTCCCTGATTTGTCTGACTTTCAATTAACTCACTAATTATCTGACTAACAGATTCAGAAAAGGGAGCTTCTGGGTATATTATTAATGTCTCCTCCACACTGTGTTACATGGATGGGAACTGTATGTGTTTCGTTCATATAAAATAAATGAAAGCACTCCATTGCTAACTTGTATAAAGGAGACTAAAGGACTGTGCTATACCATGAGGGAAACTGACCTAGTCAGTGAGAATAGGGAAACCTTCCCCAAATAAGTGATATTTGAGATGAAATGCAAAGTTAAACTGGCTACAGGAGACAGGATAGAACAGTACAAGGGACACAACATTCCAAACATAAACACAGCATGTGCAAAGGCCCTGTGGCAAGAGGAAATTGGAGGAAGGCAAGTTTGGCTTGAGTAGATGGAGGAATAAACCCAAGGTAGGGAGGGCACAATACTGTCTAACTTGCATTTTGACAAGGTTGCTCTGGCTATAGTATGGAGAACAGGTTGCCACAGGGTTGGGGGTGGTGCATTAAGACGGGAAAAAGTCGAACAGGCTTAACGAGAAAATCATAAATTCAGTCTTGAAAATTATAAACTTGAGATGATTTTGGGATACCCAAGCAGTGATATCAAGTAGGCAACTGGATCAAGGATCCTTTCCTTTCCTCTAGTGAGCAAGAACGCACTGTTTAATATGTCTAACATTTGGTTGTACTGTATTTCCTTATCCTTCAGTTTTAAGAATAAAATACACACACATTTTCTTCAACATAATAGCTCCCTTTAGTTTATTATTAACAGCAATACGAGCCTCCTGTGGCCTGGAAAGACTTTGTCACAAACCTATTCTTCATTGCTATGGTCTGAATCTTTGTGTCCCCTCAAAAGTCATATGTTGAAGTCCTAATCTCCAAAGTGATAGTACTAGGAGGTGGCGTCTTTGGGAAGTGATTATGCCATAAGGGCAGAGCCTTCATGAATGGGATAGCGTCCTTATAAAACAGGCTCAGGCCGGGCGCGGCGGCTCACGCCTGTAATCCCAGCACTTTGGGAGGCTGAGGCGGGCAGATTATGAGGTCAGGAGATCGAGACCATCCTGGCCAACATGATGAAACCCCATCTCTAGTAAAACTACAAAACTTAGCTGGGCATGGCAGCGCATCCCTGTAGTCCCAGGTACTCAGGAGGCTGAGGCAGGAGAATTGCTTGAACCTGGGAGGCAGAAGTTGCAGTGAGCCGAAATCATGCCATTTTGCACTCCAGCCTGGTGAGAGAGCAAGACTCCGTCTTGGAAAAAAACAAAACAAAACAAAAAAAACAGGCCTAAGGGAGCTTGTTCACTCCTTGCACCAAGTGAGGATATAGCTAGAAG